CTAATTACAGACCCGGCATAAACGTGAACAGGGCCTAGGTTTTCTTCCTGGCTGATTTCCCTAAGCTCAGCTGCGGTGATGAGCAGAAGTGCATCGTTTCAGTGGCCTTAAATAATGCCAGGCTCAGTGCCCCTTTAAAACCTGCTCAACTGAGAGTACAATTCCCAAGCCACTGGAAAGATAAATAGATGAACCCAGGTATTATCCAGCTGGAGAAATTCCGTCAAATGAGTGAGAAGTCAGCTGGGATGAAATGAAAGCATAAGCCTCTGTTGGAGAATGTGACAAAAGGCAAGATGTTGCCAGGGACAGACCTGCTAACGGTGCCTAGGAGGTATTTGTTGGGGGTGAAGGTTTCCCGAATGGTAGCAACAGAATCAAGGTGACTGGGAGAAAAATAAATGTAAGGTGGGAGAAAAATAAATGCAGAGTATTTCTGAGGAATGCTTCTACCCTCCTCAAAAGTCACCTCTGATGTCCAACCCCCAAGCCTCAAGAAGATTTTCATTGTCGAGAAGTTTCTCAAGGCCCCTCTTCCTTACCTGGCTTCCACTAGAACTCCCTATCACTTGCAGTCTGCTGATTAGGGTTAATGCATTGTGTCCTGATATGGCAGATTTAAAATGAAATCAATAAATGCCTAAAACAAATGGGCTTTTGAGATGTCCCATTCAATCTGGGTCTTTAAGGGTGAGGGGAGAGGAGGGAGAAGGAAATCATGAGGGGAGTGGGAAAAGGACCAGTTAAGCAATCGATTTCTATCCAAAACACTGTGTGGAGGATGTGATTTCAAGGCACCTGTCCTTCCTTTTTTCAGGGATCTGCCTTAAATAACAAGAATAGCCTTGAACAGTTCACACTGCTGAGCCCCTTTGGCGGTGGGGGTGTGTATTTATTTTTTCCATTCATCTGTTAAAAATCGTACTGTTTGTGTAAGTGAAGGGGTCTATAGCATGCAGTATTTAAATCTTCAAGATGGGAACTTGTCTTTCTGAAGTGGGCTTAAACAAAGTGAGGGTCGGGACTCCACCCCGCTACCTATTCTCTTGAACCCCATCCCACTTGCCAGTGAATTAAAGGTAAACTTCACCCTGAGCTGTCTGACCCCTCCCTGCCCTGCTGGTTTACACTGCTGAAACCTTGCCCACTAATCCAGTCATTGTCATCAGGAGGTTGAAAGGGAGATCGCTCAGGTCATCTCTACACTCCACTGCAGTATTCCGAATTGTCCCTGCTGAATATGTTTCCCATGTAAATAACCTGTGCTATTAAGGTGCAAATTGCAACTTTTAAGTAATGATTGCTAATAGTCTAATGTTTACTGCCACACAAGGACATTCATGAAAACAAAATCTGCATTATTCATCTCCATATTAAATAAACAAAATAAATTGAGGGAGCTGTTCTCTCCTGCAAGACTTTCCTCAGATCTGGATTATCAAATAGCTTCTGAGAGTCAGCAAGAAGAAAACATTTAATCTCTTTGAGTAGGCAGCAGCAGACGCCTATAATTTATATCTACATTAGATATTCATATGTACATGATGTCCAAAGATTTTGTGTCCTCTTGCAATTGGCTGGCATTATATAAAAACAAGAGTTCAGGATGGTGAAATAAAATATATATTACACATGTGTATGTACAGAGGCTGCGAAAGATTGTAGAAAAGAGAAGGGTTACAGTGTAAGTCTACAGTTTAACATTTTTCACTACCCTGCGTCTTGTAAAACACAAACAACTCAAAACACTGTTCTGTTTTATTTTACCTTTCTGCCATCTTCTCTAACTTCCCTACAATGGATAGGGAGAAAAGATGCTGGTACAGAATCCTGCAATATTTTCAGGTAAAAGTAGATGCGTTTTAGTGGTGAGTGAAATATACATCCAAGGAAGCAATCACACTCACTCATACACAAACCCCTGGGGTACTGCAGGCTGCTTTCTAAACTTTTTTCCTTGCCCGAAGTAATAGTATGGTAGAAGAGCATAGCTTTAGAAAGCCAGGAAGAATGACATTTCGGAGGGAAATGTTCTGACTTAGCTGTTTCCTTAAAGAGAACTGCCTACCTCACAGCCCTTCCCTTAAAGGAGGGAGGAATATAACCAATAAAGACTAACGTCCCCCATCACTTATAATATCATCTCGCTCATTCTAACCGCATACCTGCTTTATTAGAAAGTTCCATAATTGATTCCTTGAAACGTGGAACTTAAAACTAATAAAGCAAAGGAATCAGATTGCCTCAAAGAGTTCTCGGGGAAGAGAGTCTCAGTTCTGATTCACTCACAGGCTTTTTCGATGCTACATTATTCATTCCTCAAGCTAGAAATCAAGCTTTCAACATCAGCCCATGGGAATAATTACTTACAGTCACGCATTGTTTAATTTTAAGCAGTGATAAAAGTTAGTATGGCCACAATCCTAGAACCCACCTTGTCCTTCTCCCTGGATGTTAACTGGCTAAAGACTCTCGAAGTGGCTAACTTTACTTGTGAATAACCACGTCAGCTAAAACAGAGTACAGCACCCATGACTTCAGACGAAAGAAATATTACATGAAAAAATACCTGCTTTAGTAATATGTGACTCAATAAATATCGTAAGAGGGGCCTCACTGTGTACTAAGTGAATTATTCCCTTTCAGCTTGACAAGGGCTTCCACTTCTTCCAGTGAAAATAATAAAAGCCATGAAAACAGACCCATAAAGACACTAGGAACACAATAGGCCAGAAAACTGAAACTACAGTCAGAACTTTCTAACACACACATACAAACACTACAGTAAATAGATAAGCTAGCTCCAGTAGACACCAGCTTAATGAAAAGGATCTAATTTAAATAATGTGATACAGCATTGTGTTACGTACACCTGGATGCTCATTGATCAGAGCATAATTATAATCAAAGGAGTGCAGTTCTGAGCAATGCACTTTTTGTAATGAGCTGACCAAAGGAGACATGTCCAGTCATTCTGGTAATTTAAATTACTGCCTAGTTGTTGGCCTTTACCGGAACAACAGGGGGAAAAAAAAGAGTAATTTTCAGGGCAGTATCACTTCTTGCTGGACTGTTGCCCAGGGTTCTCTTTTGGGACAACAATAAGGACGTTATCTCTAATAATCTAGCGATACTTAAATTTATGTTGCTAGAACTGGAAGAAGCAGGCTCAGTCTTCCTGAGTCTAAAAGGCCAGTGCACACCCCAGTGCTGTTCAGATTGCAAAGCAATCTAAGTTTTAAAAAATAAGTGAGTTAAATGTAGAAAGGGACAGGGGTAGGAGGAAGAAATTGTTTGCAAAAGAGGTAGCTAGAGTTGAAAAAAGAGCACTTCATTGACTAGGCAAGTTCTAAATAGATACGGTACTAAAAATACCTAAATTATTTTGCTCTTGGAAATACATGAATCAAAGCTTTGTAAATGATATTTCCCCATGCAATTTGAACCAATCTATACACGGTTACGGATCTGCGCTCAGAAGGGAAGATAATTGTGGATATCTCAAAGCACATGTACTGCCATTCGTGCTGGAATCAGGCCACGATGGAAGATGAGCTTGGTGGTCCAGCATGCTCAGACACAAACACCCACTTTGCCCAGATTTGTGACTAACTTTGGATTTGCTCTGAGGGTGGCTTTTCAAAGTTTATGAAAGTGTTCCACCGAACTTCTCCCTAATGTTTCGCTCGAGTTGGAACAGAAGGAGATATTGTGGGGGGTTCTGCAGAAGACCCGCCTTAACTGATGCTGCCTAAAGCACGAGGGTAAAGACAGAAAGAAGGGGGAATAAAACTTAAGCTTTTTGCTAAAGCCCGATTCAACTGAAGGACACAAAGACATAAAAACGCCCACATTAAAAGCCAAACAAGATAATAATTGTGCATGTCTGCCTCTGAATCTAGAGGGCAAGGCTTGCATCACTGGCACTCTGAGTTACCATGGTGAGTGATTTATTGATATATATCAAGAATGAATAGATCAAAGGCAGCGAGATGACAGGTGATCAATCAAATGTCAAATCAAAACTAGCAATCAAGTGGAAAGCTGACTTTTCAGTGGGTGGGTCTGGGAGGAGAAAAATGAACTTTCATATCACACTTCCGAGAAGCAAAACCCCAGCATACTATTAAAAAAGCAATTAAGCAACCCAAAAGGAAAAAAAAAAAAAAAAACCCTTTACAAGATCTAATGTACTGATCCATTAACCTGTTCCTCTCTTTTTCTTTTTTCTTTTGGAGGAGGGGTGGTAAGTAAGAATTCACATGGGATAGTTCCTACTATACAAATCAATTTACAAAGTTTGCAACTCACTCTGGGCAAAGGAAATCCAGAGCTGTTTCAATATCAAAGGGGCATTTTTCTTCCCCTTTTTTAAGAGAAGGAAGAGTGTTGATTAGATTTCCAAACGTGGATCCTCTTAGAAAACATATTCAAGGGTTCGTTTCCTGGGGTGGTTTTTTCCACCTTGGTGATCAAAGCTGAACTCCTATGGCTCGCCCCAAAGCCAGCCTTGCAGCCCGGGGCTGGGTCACTGCTCACACTTCAGTGTCCCAAACCCCAGCCAGAGGAGACGCTGTCCCTCGAGGCCAGAAGCCACTGGCACTGACCACGCGGAGGGATGCGGGGGTGGAAGGACTGTCTCCCCACTCCGCACCCCAAATCCTCAACCCAACTTTGGCCCGAGAGGCAAGAAGCAGACTGGGAGAAAGTTAGGGGTGGGGTAGAGGGTGGAGGAAAAAAAGTTTAAGGAGGGAAGGCTTGGTGGGATAGCTTCCCCCAACACCCCCAATCGGAGCCTGGAAAGGGGAGGATTTGGGAGACTGGAGAAGGCGAGAGAGGATGGGGTTATGAGCCAGGCAGAGAGGGGCACCCGGAGCGAACTCCCCCGAAAGCCGAGGGGGGTGGCGTCCTGGGGCACCCGGGGCGAGGAGGGCGGGCGAGGAGCTCGGCGCACCGGGCAGCCCGGCCGGACAGCCCCGAAGCGGAGCCGTTTCTCTTACCTGCCGCCCGCTTGGGTGCCTGCTGTTTCCTCCTTGGCATCGCTCTACTTCGCTCCAGTCCCACTTCTGGCGCCCCAGCCCCGAGCCGCGCGCGGGGGCCCGCGGTCTCTCTCGCCTCTCTGGGTCTCCTCCGCCTCCTGCCCGGTGGCTCCTAGGGCGTCACTCGGCCTCTGTCCCCCTGACGATCCCCCCTGCAACTCCTCCACCACGGGCCAGAGACCCCCCTCTCTGGGTGGCAGACACGGACGGCTGTGCCGGCTGGTTGGAAGTAGAGGTTGGTTCTGCCTTGTTTGTTTGTTTGTTTTGGATTTTTTTTTTCCTCTCTCTCTCTTTTTTTTTTGGTTTTGGGTTTTTTTTTTTGGTTTGTTTTTTTTTTTTTTTTTTTTTGGTGACTGTTGAGACACTTGATTTCTTTATTAAACATCCAAGACCGGGTTCGGATGGAAGGGACGAGGGACGCACACGCGCGCGTAAAGATAAGGAAAAAAAAAAAAAAAAGGCAATCCTGGGAAGGTAGTGGTTTCTTCTTTTTCTTCTTCCTTCTCCTCTTTCCCTCCTCCTCCTCGCCGATCTCTATGGCGGATTCGCGCTGGGGGCAGAGAGATCACTCACTGTAGGTTTGTGGCTGCTGTCGGATCCCCGTCTGTGAGTGATATGCTAGAGGACAGGAGCGGGTTTGGGAAAGACAGAAAATCTGGAATTCACACACACACACACACACACACACACACACACACATACACACACACACACACACACTCACACGCACGCACGCACTCTCGCTTCCTCTCACACACACTCACACCCCCCACATATGCACACACACACACACACACGCACACACACTCTCACACACACACAAGACAGGGCGAGGCGATGCCAGCAAACATCGATCCTGCTGAACAAACTGAACATTAACAAACTCCTCCTCCTCTCCCCGCGACCTGATGACAGGGAGAAATTTACTCCCCAGCCGCAGAACGCCAGGCAGAGGGAGTCTATTAAAGGGACAGTGTCCCGCCGGGGAGCAGGGCTGGGGGCGGGGACCCGGGCGTGCCACCGGGGCTGGCTCCGCCGTGCGCCCTCTTCTCTGGTGCGGTGACGCGCCACCCCCTTTCCACCCTCCCCCCACCCCCGGGCTCGGGGACACCCCTTGGGGGAGGCGTGACAAGGGAGGGGATGTGGAAGAAAGGGGGCGGGGTGATGGTAGGAGACGCAGGGGGCCAGGTGAGCTGAGCCGCAGGGACCATTAACAGGACCATTAACTATATTAGCAGCATGAGAACTTATGTTCCTTTTGGGCAGTGGACGGGGTGGGCACCTTGGAGTGATGACCACCATCCTCTAAATCTCTTAATCTAACCACAGAGATGTCCTCCTCACCGCCTTAAATTTAATGCCCTTGCCTCTCCCACCTTCCTGCTAGTCCCTGGACGGTCATAAAAACAGGAATCTCCCATCTGTCTCCTTGATAGTTTAATCACATAGTCCTCGTTTGGTTTTAAATAATCTTTATTGAGCACCTACTATGTGCCTATTCTGGAGACACAGCAGCCATACAGAAAGGGAAGATCCTGGCCCTCTCAGTGTTTGTGTTCTAACGAGGAGCAGACAAGTCGCCCCCAGATATCCAGTCTTTGCTTAAATGTCTCCTTCTCCCAGAGGCCAACCTTACTTAAAGTTTCACACACACATCTCCACTCCCCATTCCATTTCTCTATTTTATTTTTCTCTACTGGGCTTACCAATGTCACACATATTATCACATGTATTATATACAGTTTTCTATTTTTATTGTCCAAATTTCCCCTGTAGAATATAAGTTCTGTTGGGAGGAGGGGTTTTATATTCCCAGTGACGGCAAAGATCACAACATGTAGTAGATGCCCAATAAAACATTTGAATGAATGAAAGGTAAGCAAACCAATAAGATAATTTCAGAGTGAAAAGCTCCAAGAATTTGTTACAAGAGGGTTCTGTGACAGTGTCCGCAAGAGGGGGTAGCTCTAGCCTCAGTGCAGGAGATGTCATTTGAGCCAACATGTGGCAATGGCCCTGATATGGGCCAGGTACCTTTTGAGCTGCTGGGGACAGGCTGAACATGGACCCTGCCCTCAAGGGACTCTCGTTCCAGTTGGAGAGACAATTAAAGGGGTAAGTGAGGCCTGCTGGGACAGGGGTTGTACGTAGAAGTGGGGGCCGTTAACCTGGACTTGGAGGAAGGGAGGATGTTTAGTTACGAGGTAGGGCTTCCTGGGGAAAGTCAAGTGAAAGCTGAGTCCTAAATACAGAGGAGTTATAGGCAAAAAGGGAGCTCTGACAGCATGTCCCCAGAATAAAAAGCCAGGCATTGTCTCAGTCTTTCCAAGGGCTTCTCCTTCCTGCATTAAAATGCCCTGAGGCCCTTGTTAAATGCATGTTCTGAGGCCTTTTACTCTAGAAGAAAATGTTCTAACCCTGGCACTGTTGACCTTTTGAGGCCATAATTCTTTGCCGTGGAGGCCACTGTGCATTGTAGGATGTTTAGCAGCACGTCTGGTCTCTACCCACTAGACGCCAGACTCTTCCACCCTAGCTGTGTCAACCAAAATTGTATCCAGACGTTGCCCAAAGTCACCCAGGAGGTAAAGTCACGCCTAGATCTCCTAATCAGAACCTTCTAGGGCCCATTGCCCTTGACCTTCTAAGTCAGAAACTTCTGGATAAGGGCTTTGGAATCTGCAGTTTGACCAAACAACTCCCAATCCCACAGGTGAATCTCTTGCTCATTCCAGTTTAAAAACTTCTGCTAAAAAAGCCCTTGTTCTTTTGGAATCAGATCTACCCCAAATTGCTAACTATAGAGCCAACTCAGGCTTAGATATTAAAGTAATAATTACAATAATTTAGGAGTTCAAGGGGTGACACTGTTACTGTGGTCACTGTGATGGGTTTCACCAGTGTCCACTCCTCACTCCCGCCCTACCATGTACTCACTGCACGTGAGGCCTGACCTGCACGATCTGTGGCGCCTTCTGCCTACAACCTACCTGTCACTTTTGCCCTCGCTCATGGGGAATTACCAAGGGTGACCCGTCCCACAAATATTTTTCTAAACAGTTCTTTTGGGCCATAGGAAACTTTGTCCATCCTACCAGTCAGCTGCAAGATGTTATTGTCACTCTTTGCAAAGTGCTGTTTAATCATTTTTAACATCCCCGCACAGGGGGGCAAATGCTCATTTTTCCTTCTCACGTACATGGTACAAATTGTTAATTCACTCACCCTAAATCACCCAGGCAGCCTCCACCCATTACCAGCCCCACCCAATCCCAGCCTAGTCCTTAGGCAACTGAGGCAGAGAAAACCCCACTTCATAGTTGGCTATGTCAGCAAAAGGGGTATGAGTACTAATTAATTCTAATTACCCAACACACCTTTATGGAGCTCTGTGATAGGAACCATAGCTTACTGAGTGAAAACCCCACAGTCCTGTCATTAAGGAGCCACAGTTATAGGATCAGGAGGTACAGAATTAGGCCTGGACGGAAAAGAAGACCAAGATTGCAGTAAGCTCACCTCGAATCTGCCATATTCTGCAGAAGCCCTATGCCCGTTGATTTGGCCTTTGCATTCCATTCAATAATTTAACAAATATCTGTGTTAGGTGCCAGGTATTGCCCTGAGCACAGGAGATGCTAGAATGCATAAGATAGGATCCTTGCCTTCAGAAAACATCTGTAAAATGACATCCAAGAGACTGGGAACTAGGAAAGAGGGAGTTCAGGAGCTGGACCCAGCCTTGGAGTAGATCAGGAGGGAAATAGGCAGGAGCAGTTGACTCTGTGCTACAGAAGCTCTCCTAGATGCTCTCCAGGATTCTTCTCGAATTTTACCCCCACTCTTGCCTCTTTCTCAGTAGCTGGTTATGTAGTCGGGGAGGGGGAGCTCACAATATCTTCTGCAAAAACTTTCTTTTAGCTGGCTACGAACTCAATCTTGGGCCCACACTTCTAGAGTGTTCTTTCATTAATTTGTGTTTTTTCCTACTGCTACTACTGAAGAGTATACAGCTTGGTTATCAACAAAGATTTTGGCTACCCCAGTGGATGCATAACACAGTGGTACCCAGACGTCATTCAGTGGTGTAGACATAACACTGAAAAATGCTGAATCACATAGTGAAAAGGTTATTATTCCCTTTCAATCTGAGGCAGTGTCCGTTTGGTGCTAGTATGTCTTTTGCGCCTATCACTTGCTAACTTTTATTTTCAACCAAGAAACCACAGATCTCTGACTCAGAAGCTTAGGAGAGGCAAGAATACCTGGCTAGACTTTTTTTTTCTTTTTTTTAAAGGCAGACTGCCACGTGCAGCGCCTCATTTGGATGTGTCTGGAGTCTTGGAAGCTTGACTACTCTACATTCTCCTACAAATGGACCTTGAGAGCTTGTTTGGAGGTTCTAGCAGGGGAGCTCAGCTACTCGTATACCCTTGACCGAAGAGCGGTCCTCCTCTATCGGGGAAGGTCGTCCTCTTCGACGGAGTGCACAGCTTAGGGAGGGATGCACGTGGAACAGTGAGGGAGGAAGGCGACACCCGCCTCTGGTTAGACTTTTTTTTAATGTTTTTTTTTTTTAATTGAATTCACTTTGTTTACCTCTGTCTTAGAGAAAGATACTGCTCTCCATTTATGGTAGCAATCCATTTATGGTAGCAATCCATTTATGGTAGCAATCCATTTATGGTAGCAATCGAAAGTTTAATATAATTCATGGGTTTTAAAAATAAATATACTTAAGGAACAATAGAGAATAAACAGTGGTTCAGGTGGGATGTGAAGATGGCAAAATGTGAGGCAGGTGGTGTGGGCACGTCTAGAATTTGTAAAATACTAACCCACAGACTCTGGCACTTTCGGAAACTTCTTCCAAGAGGTGGTGGCTTGGAATAACGCTATGCTTAAGTCTCCAGGGAACTTAGCATCCTAGGATCCAACCCTCAAACTCTGGGATGTGTAAAGGCATGAGCTGATTGGAATGACTCAACCATACCTTCCAGAACACTTATTCCCACACTGGCTCAACATCAAAATCACCTGGGGATTTTTTTGATA